AGTTGGCCGTTCATTGTTGCGTCCCAATCCGGTCATCCTTACGGAAGGATGAAATTCATGCATGACATGCATGTCACGATGGCCCACTAGTAGGACCTGGAAATCAGTAAGATAGACTTGGAGGTCTCACGCATAGATCTAATCACGAATATCATCTTCGTTTTCGTGTAGAGGATGTAATATAATTCGTTTCTAAATTCAATGAGACAGCGTGTTGCTGCCTTGCATAATTGGACCGAAGATAAGTGGGTATAACTTGCACATGGTGCATTTGATGGCAGAGCTCAATTTGGTAGCCACAACATTATAATGTTGTAAAGTAAGCTGTGTTACATGTTTATGAAAGTGTACAAGATGCTTATAGACAAGATTATTATCGTAAATATGGTAAACAAACCGCCAAAAGCAACTTTGTGTAAAAAATGGGTCGAGAAATGCACTTGAGTACGATCAATTACTCGAGATGTTTATACTCGAGGATGTTAAGAGGTGTTTGCCTGTAAGAGTTCGACCTCACATTGACGAGCGTGGTCTGCGCACATTAGCCGAGGTCGGCAATGCCGCCGATCATTTCGCTCTCACTAATCGGGATACTCTTGCAGATCTAATGAGCCTTCAGTCCAGTCTAACCAGCATAGTGGTAAGAGATGGAGTCTAGTTCCGGGACTGAACTGCCGGAAACCCAGAGGATTATCAATACAAAGTCGTCAGAAACAGGTGGTGAGAAGAGTAGTAAGTTTGCTTCTCGCGGTGAGATTTTTTCTTTTTGCGTTATTGCAAGAAACGCGACCGTGTCATGAATGGCTAGATTGGCCAAAAAGCGTTCTAATACTAACAAACATATTTTTCATGTTAATGCTTGACGGTAAAGGTTACATCTCGTGATTAACTTGATCTTGGCCTCCTCTTTGTCCATGAATGAATCTATAAATGTGACTCCTTGATGCCTTGTAAATCGCCTTCTCCAAACACTATCCTACGCGACTCGGATGCAGATATATCATTAGTGCTCAAGGAGGCTGTTCCTAACCCTGACATTTATACTGGGGAGAAGGTAATTATTAATGGACCGATAGGGTCTAAGATCATACTCATATGTAAAGTCTCTTGAATCTGAATTGTTAACTGGTTATATAAAGTTAGGTGTTGATAATATACCAAATGATGCTTTTTTCGCTTCTTATGGGTAATGATCTTGATGGTGATAAGGTGTGGCCTTGCCCTGTGGTCTCTACTTGTCCCACTGAAGAGAACACTGTAGGGTTAGAGAGGGAGTATCCCGACATCTCTGCGTGTGCTGTCATCTCCAAGTCCTAAGATCCCTTCTCGAGAGGCCCTTATGGAATATTTACTGAGGAATTCATAGTAACAGTTTTCCTTAATTCATCTGATAAAAGCTCAAATACGTCTGCATCTGATAATTCTGATATAGTGAATTTCAAAGACACTCCAGTTACTAAAGAAAAGCTCATTGAATAACAACATAAAGATCCTGATTTGCAAGCATTTAATGATGGGCTAGAAAATTTCAGAACTTACTGTTATCTCCAGTCAGGTGTTCTTATGCGTAAATATAAGCCCTATATAAGCTCTATCTGCAGACAACACAAACAGGATAGTATATCAGACTATTATTCCAAAGCCCCTTCGCTCTGATATATTAACTATTGGATATGGCATTAGTGGACCGATTGGGAATCAAGAAGACTTATCGCCAAGAAGACTTATCGCAAGATTTTAGCACATTTTATTGAACGAAAATGAAACATCGTCATTGACAGCTGTGCCACATCTGCCAAGTAAAGGGTAAGCCAGGAGTTAGCTTCAAACCTTATCGCTTGCAACCTATCCCCATGTTAACAGAGCCTTTAAGTTAAACAGTTATTGACTGTGTAGGTCCCCTTTCAAAGACGAAATGGGGGAATAAGTTCGTCAACTATAATTAATGTAACCACACGATATCCTGAAGCTATTCCCCTCAGGAGCATCACTACTAAAAATGTTGTGAAGGCCTTGATAAAGTTTTTAACTCGGGTGGGTCTGCCTGCCGTAGCACAGTCAGATCAAGGGTCAAAGTGTACATCCAGACAGTGTGAAAAAGTAATGAAGTCCTTGGCTATACGACAGTGAAAGTCCACCGTATATCATCCACAAAGTCAAGAGGTAGATGAAGGATTTAATTATACTTTGAAGACCAAGATTAAAACTTTCTATTTAGAGACTGGTTCCGAGGGAGATGAAAGAATAGATTTGCTTCTATTTACAGAAAAGAACAGTGTTCTAGAAAACCTTGATTAGTCACCATTTCAATTAATTTACGGCTTTGAAGTGAGTGAATCACTAAAAGTCGTAAGTGGTGGTTATATGAAGAGGCGATTCCCATAAATGCTTATGTAATAAATCTAAGCATAGATTACAAACAGCTATTTCAATACCACATGAATATTTGTATAAAGTCCCAGACTAATATGAAAGAAAATTTTAATTTTAAAAAAGTAAATTATGTAATAAATCTAGAGCATAGATTACAGAGAGCTATTTCAATAACGCATGAATATTTGTATAAAGTCCAGACTAATATGAAAGAAGATTTTAATTTTTGAGAAGTAAATGATGCTGATGTAATATATATATATATATATATATATATATATATATATATATATATAATATATAATATAAAGCGATATAGTATTGGCTTTGCTAAGTCTTCCTAACCATCCTCTTCAGTCTCACTATGCGGGTACATGTCTTTCCTAAAACGAACTGGTGATGTTACCGGTACATCTGAAACACCTAAGAGGCATAAGATAAAACGATATGCATGTGAACCTTCTGAAAATGTAGTATGAACATGATGATTTAAAGGAAAATGCGGAAAACGTACGTGAGGTTTCAGTGGTTGCACCTTCTAACACTGGTAATGGAAATAATATGAAAATATCTATTGTGGAGCCTCATCAGACCAGTTTAATAATCTCGGTCAACCTTGATGATAAACTTGAGCAGTGAGCATTCGTTCTCTTCTGGAGCATGAACTATTCGGTCACGTACCTCGTCTCTGCCCACTACTGGGTCAGAATTTTGAGACCAGCGATGCTCAACCAGTACGTCAAGCTGTTTATGGCCTTAATGCAGAGAAGAGGGCGTTCTTCCAAGCAGAGGTTCGTCGCCTGAAGGAACAGGGGTTCACCATTCCATGCTGAGGTCCATTTACATCAACTGTGGTTTTGGTGCCTGAGAGCAGAGGCATTCATCTATTTGTGGACTTGAGGAAGGCCAGTGCAGCTAAATGGACAACTCATTTCCACTTCGTAGGTTGGCCGGTATTAGTGGCAATTTTAGGAAAGCATGTATTTAAGACCGTGGGTGAACAACGAAAGTGAAGTACTCCACCGGTGTGTTATTTATCGTACAAATACAAATCTGATCAAAAGTGTTACGCCATCGTCGAAAAGGAGGCTTTGGAAATAGTATTGGCTATTGAAAAGATTATAGATTACTTAACAAGGCTTGTAAATTCGGTTGAAATTCTCACGAATCAAAATCCGGTAATGCTCATGGAAAATGGGAAGCATAAGAACATGCGAGAGTTATGGCAGGCACCAATAATGCAACATAAAAATCTTGCCAATATTATTGCGGACACACTCACCAGACCGTAACTGGTGTTCTGTACATGAACTGCATAAATTTATTACTCTAATTTAAATTTAGCTTTGTTGATATTAATGACGTTTTATAGGTTGCTCTGGGAAGTCAGACTCTTTTTCCATTCTGGCATTTTTTTTTTTTTTTTTTTTTTTTTTTGGTGGTGGTGGGAGGGGGAGGTATCAAATGAACCGATTTCTAGAAAACTGAATGCATTTACGGTATCCTTTTAATTAACGAGCTAAATGACCATATAACTGTCAGCGACGCTGACAACCCTATTTCCTTGTTTGTTTTGCTAACCCTCCCCCTTTTCATCATCTACCCATGTGTCTTGGGGGGGATGGCCTCGTCCACTCCTCCACCCCCATAGTCCCATCATAGCTGATTTTTTTTATTTGCCATATCTACGGGGTTCGTAATTTCTTTCTTTTGTTTGGGTTAGAGAGATATACTATATTTTATTGATATATCACTGGTAGGATTTTCTTGTTGTTGGTGTGTTTTGTCTATTTTGTGTTTATTTTGGTGAACGAAATGAATAACCATAAATTGTAAATATTGATATTACGTCTTTCCAAATCTTATTTTACAGTTAATATATAATTAATAATTCAAAATAATCAATAACAGATAAAAGAAAAGAATCAATGACATAATGAAAGATCACTCTAAAGAAAAAGTTTACTAATTACTGCAATGTACACAGACAATAATGAATATAGATAATATATTGATGGGAAAGTATCTAATGATTATAAACACTTAATTGCATAAATAAAGATTGTAATGTAGAGTTAAGAATGAATGAACCAGAAGAGACTTAACAATCACTGGTGGTACTTTAACA